AGACGCCCTCCCGTTAAACCCCTTCCCAAACCCCGGCCTCCTCCCCGGTGCGCTCGAGCCGTCTAACCTCTGCGCCCCCTCCCGATGCCCCTTGCCCCACAGATGGACGTCGTGGACGCCGAGAAGGCGGTGCCCGCGGAAGGCTGGATCGCGGTGGCTTACGTGGGCCAGGAGCAGGCCGCCCCGTCCCCCCCGCACAGCCGGAGCAGCGGCCCGCAGGCCTGCCCCAAGGCCCTGGTCCAGCAGGTGCAGGGGATGTATGTGGGGAAGGAGGTTGGAGGTGGGGGGTTTTCAAGGCATTTGCTAGAGCCGGACTACCAAGGGGGACCCTGAGGAGCTTCCAGAAAACCCCTAGGCCTGGGCGGGGCAAGGGACCCCCAGTTTGGAAAACTGAGTCAATATGGTGAGGAAACAGGTGTGGGGAGCCAGAGAGAGTCAGGAAGCTCCACCAGGCTCGGAACACCCAGTGGGGAGTGCCCCATGGGGGTTCATGGGCTCATGACAGGCCCGCCCCGCTGGGACCAGGGAAGGCACAGCATTGTTTGGGTCCCACAGAGCATCTGGGGGAAAGGCTGGAGGAATAAAGGTTTCTGCCCTTGACCTCAAGGAGCTTATAGCCAGTCGGTCCAGAGGAAAGGATGGTTGTGGTGCCAGGAGCTAAGAATAACTGTGGCGACAGGTGTGGGGGCAGGGTGCGGGCAGGGTGCGGGCTAGCCTCCTCTCTGTCCTGCAGATGCGGAGGGCGCTCTTCCTGGGAGCCTCTGCCCTGCTCCTCCTCATCTTGAACCACAACGTGGTCCGAGAGGTAAGCCGGATGACGCTTTGGGGGCACACAGGCTGGGGATGGAAGACCAAGGCCAGCTGACCTCTCTGTCCCCCTGCAGCTGGACATATCCCAGCTTCTGCTCAGGCCAGTGATCGTCCTCCATTATTCTTCCAATGTTACCAAGCTGCTGGAGGCGCTGCTGCAGTGAGTTGGGGTTTGAACTCCGAAGGACTGGTGGGCCTGGGAAGCCTAGGTGTTGGGGAGCCCTGGCTTCGCCATGGGCTCAGGGGGTCTTGGGACCAGGGCCTTTCCTATTATCTTCAAGACTGATCTGAAAAATGGGTGAGGAGACCAGAAGGAGGCGCCAGGACCTGGAGTGAGGAGACTGCTCTGTGGGCAGAGGGGATTCGCTCTAGCAAGGAGGAAGCTGGATTTCTGATCCCTGGGCTTGTGGGCCTACCTGGCCTGGCTGGTGTGAGAACTGGGAAAACCCATAACTGAGAAAGGTTTAGGGGCCAAAGCAGAAGGGCTACAGGATGATACGTGGGGGTGCGGGGTGGGGCTCACCTCCCAAGAGCCCTTCTGTCTAGCTTCTCGGTGGCTTTCCCTTCCAGGAGGACCCAGGCCACAGCTGAGATCACCAGTGGAGAGTCCCTGTCGGCTAACATTGAGTGGAAGCTGACCCTGTGGACCACCTGTGGCCTCTCCAAGGATGGCTACGGAGGATGGCAGGACTTGGTGTGCCTGGGAGGCAGTCGGGCCCAAGAGCAGGTGGGTGCTGGGGAGAGGAGGCTCGGGTGGGACCACACACATGCCTTGTCTCAAGTCCTGTAGCCTCTCCCCACTGCATGGCGAGGACTGCCCCTCCCACTCCCTAGGGCTATTGCGAGTGTTCAGTGACACGGTGGGTATTCAGTGTGGTGCCTGAGCCAGGGTCATTTACAATCAATGATAGCTGCTGTTGTCATGTCATTTTTCCTCTTAGAAGCCTTCTCTGGCTCCCCATTGCCTGCAGAATAAAGTTCAGCATCCTTAGCCTGGCTTTCACAGCTCTCCTCATCACTCTTACTTTTTTCCTAGTCTTACGCTCCACCACCTTGCCATGTATGGGCCTTCACACCCCCAACCCCCCCTGCCCCCCCAGTCTCCTGCCGCTAAACCTTGTCTGTGTGTGGCTGCAGGCAGAGACACCCTCTTTCTCTGTTTCCATATGTCCCAGTCTAGCCAGAGCCCTCACAGCTCATCCTGATGCCCTCAGCTCCCAGCCCTTCTCTCCATCTCCTAAATCATAGCTGCACTTTGTGATGCCCTTCATGGGACTCGTAGGACAGTCAATCCTGTATATGTTGGAGAGAGCAACATGGTTTCCTGAAGGCCGGGGCTATGTCTTGTTTTCTCTGGATTTCCCAATGCTGGGCAACGAGAGGGTTCAAAGGTATTCTGTCTGCAAGCATTTCTCAGGTCCCTACTCTGTGCAGGGCGGGCATGCCCCAGTCTCCTGGGATACAGCCTCCAGCAAGTGTCTGAGGACATGGCCTGTGTGTCCGAGGCAGCTTCAAGTCAGGCAGGCTTAGGTTCAATTCCTGCCTCTGAAATCTTAGCTGAGTGACCTCAGGCTGAGTGTTTCACCTCTCTGGTCTCATGTTCCTCATTTTGTGAACAAGGACAGCACATGGACACGGGATTGTCAGGGAATTGTGTCCATAAAGCTCACAGTGGGCACTGAGAAAATAGGCAGCTGCTGCTACTCTGAATATCTTTATTGGTATAAGGGCTTGAGTAAATAAGCAGTCACCAAGTAACTTTTGAGATCCTAGGGCACTTGGGGCTCTATGAGAAGGGCTGTGGAGGGCACTATAGGCTGTAAGACTGGGCTCTGCCCTTGAGGGGCTTAAAGACAAGCAGGGAAGAGGAACTTTTACCCAAAGGAGGCCTTGGCAGCCCAGACAGCAGGTACTAATTCATGTTTGAGCAGCATGAAGAAACACACTTCTGTGGAGGAAGCAGGCACTGGTGCTGGGGGAATGGGAGGGTTTTCTGGAAGAGAAGGGAGCCCCACTGTATCTCCCCCTGGAGGGCAGCCTACACAGACCTCTGGGTGGGGCAGACATTTGGTAAGGGGCTGTCAGGTGAGAGGCCGGGACCAACTTTGAGCACAAAGGCTAGCGCTAGGAGAGGAGCAGGCTGGGAGTGGGCTGGAGAGGCCTGCAGGTGGGAATAACAGTCTGCAGGTTGGTCTGGCTGGTGCAGAGGGCAAAGCTGGGCAGCCATACTGCTGGCCATGCAAGTGTTGGGTGGCCACAGTACCTGGAGTGTTTGAAGGGCTGCTGGGGCCCGCTCTCAGACCAGTCACCACCCCTCCAGTCCCTGAGAGTCAGACTGCAGCACCGGTGCATCAGAAAGGTCTGACGGACAAGCCTCAGCCCTGCCTTCCCTCTTCACCGGGAGGTTCCCAAGATGCGCTGAGCCTCAGCAGTGGCCCCAGAGCTAAAGCAATGGTTTATGACACTAGCAGCACCCAACATTTTCCAGAGTGTTGGCCTCTTTCAACAACAAATAATATCTTGGCCCGTCTCCTACGTAAGGGTAGTTGAACTTCAGCATCGGCTGGGGAAGAACATGACGGCAGGGAGCTACTAAGAAGGCAGAAAGCTTTAAAGTGAATGTGTTTATTATTAGTCATAACACCCACAGGCCCTGTGAAACAATGGGCCGCTGTGGGTGAGGTGTGCCTAAATGGTGAGCAGGCTGGCTTTTGCTTATAATGTCTTATTTCCTGAGCCCGCTGTTTAGTTTTAGTCAAAGCCTGGCTGCCACACCACATATGGTGGGAGTTAAGTTCCCCCAGGAACTTTGAGCTCCCCCCCCAACCCCAGGGGCCTCTCAAGGACTAAGTGAGACATGTCAGACTGAGTTTCCTCTCTCCAATGAGCAGCAAGGAAATGGGTTTAGAGTAGGTGTGAGGAGGGCTGGGCAGGGGAGGCAAGGGGGGAACATGCCCAGCCCTGGTGGTCAGGGAGAGCTTCCAGAGCAAGGGGTGTCCAAAGACATCAGCCAAGGAAAGGAGCAAGGAAGAAGAGAGTTCCCAAGAGGGGAACAGTGTATGCAAAGGCACAGACTTAAGAGAGGGCGAGAGGCAAGGGACACTGAGAGGAGGGAGGGGGTGGGAGATCGAGGGCCCTGAGGACAGGCTGAAGGGGGTTGGGTTTTCTCCTGAAGACAGGGACTGACATGGGGGAAGGGAAGCCTTAGGGGGACAGGTGTCAAGGGGGGGTGCTGTGTGATTGGGTCTGCAGGTGAGATGCCTGCTGCTGTGGTGGGAAATGGGTGGGTGAGGCTGAAGCAGGGGACTCAAAGAGCAGTAGAGGAATGGGCTGGAGAGGAGGGACATGAGACCCCTAGGAGAGCGAGGCAACAGTCCCTGGGGACTGGTGATCCCTTAGAGGGCATGTGAATATCAGCCAGGGCAGAGGTAGGTGGGCGATGGTGCCTAGAAAGCTGACCAGAAGTGCAGGTTAGGGATGGGGGTGGGAAGGTGACAGTGGAGTCTGTGAGGCTTCCAGGTAGACACCTCCATGAGCCTAAACAATGGGTTTGCTGCTCAGGAGAGGCCTGGGCTGCGGGGAGATGTGGGTCCCCTCACTGTGTGGGATGGAGCATAGACAGCTGGGTAGATCCTGGGACAGAGGCTTCAGAAGATGAAGCCAGGAGCCCGGTGCTGAGGGACACAGTGCTGATGGACCTCACCTGCCTGGTCCTTAGGGTGGATCTACTGGGGGAAGAGGGTGGGGTGACCCCAGTGTCCCTGACGCCCTGCTCCCCTCCCCAGAAGCCCCTGCAGCAGCTATGGAACGCCATCTTGCTGGTGGCCATGCTCCTATGCACAGGCCTTGTGGTCCAGGCCCAGCGGCAGGCGTCACGGCAGAGCCAGCGGGAGCCTGGAGGCCAGGTGGGAGCCAGCCCAAGGGAGTCCCGGTGCCTCTAGCCCTCCGCCCGGCCTAACTCTGCCTGCCCTTCCCCCACAGGTGGACCTGCTCAAGCGCCGTGTGGTGCGAAGACTGGCATCCCTTAAGACCCGGCGCTGCAGGTTGGGCAGGGCAGCACAGAGTCCCCCGGAGCCTGGTGCCGAGACCTGTGCTGTGTGTTTGGACTATTTCTGCAATAAGCAGGTTTGTGCCCTAGGCAGAGGCCAGCCATTGGCTGACCTGTGATGGTCTACCCTACTCCGAAGACCTCGGAACCACCCCAACCAGTCCATTCTCTCCCACCCCCACCAGCACTACAGAAAGAAGAATGGGGGGAGGGGTGGCAGGCAACAGGGGTTTCAGTTCCCCAGCTTGGGTGAGGATATGGGGCCAGGCGCCCCCACCTAGAGGCCTGCAACTGTGGCCTGAGCCCTCCTTCCCCTCCCCACAGTGGCTCCGGGTGTTGCCCTGTAAGCATGAGTTTCACCGAGACTGTGTGGACCCCTGGTTGATGCTCCAGCAGACCTGCCCACTGTGCAAATTCAATGTCCTGGGTAAGGATCAAGGGTGGGGGGATCCTTGGCTGGCTCCACCTGGTCCTTACCTGACACCTCCCTCCCTGTTTTTTTCCCTCCTCTCTGCAGGGAACCGCTACTCAGATGATTAGCTGCCCCAGCCGCCTGCACGTGGAGATAGAATCCCTCCCGCCTGCAGTCTGGCCCTTGGCCTGGGCTCTTGGAACAGGACAGTGGGATAGACTGGAGAAAACCCTGTGGGTGCGAGGAAGAATAGGGGCCTCCCCTGCTGAGGAGCAAGGCACCCCACTATATTCCACTCTGGGAAGGAGGGGCCACAACGCCCAGGCCGAGAATGCAGGACCCAGACCTGCCAGGAAGAGAGGCCCCTTTGGGGTCCTTTTGTACAATCTTGGGGTGTCTGTGTCTGCCTTCCTTTCAGGAAGCTCCCAGGACCCTGGGTAGGGGCCTGGGGAAAGAGGGTGGGGGCAGTGCAGCTGCTCCCAGGGCTCTGGGAGCTCTCTGGCCTGCCTGTCAGGACACCCCAGGGGCTGAGGCTGCAGTGGTCAGTTTTGTGTTTATTTATTTGGGGGTGGGTTGGGGGAGGAGCTGTCTGGCCTCAGGGGCACCCTAGCCTGAGCATCTTTCAGGACACATCTTGGTCAAGGCTGGGATGTTAAACCTAAGGCCTGCTGCCCTCAGTCCTTGGGCACTAGGAGCCATGGGTCCCACTGCCTGTCCAGTCAGGCTCCCTTTCTGGCCTGGTTGAGACCAGAGGCCTTAGAAACAATCCAGTCCTGTGCTTCTCAGTGGGACCATGGGTCACTGACCAGGATACTTGAAGCCACAGGATAAATGTGGTGCATATTCCAGGGGCATCCTTTTTTTAAAAGAAGATTTGGGGTAGGGGAGGTTTAATATTAAAATAAACATGGATATATTTTAACATAAGAAATAAAATTTGTGTGGTTGTTTTAAGATAAAAAATACAAACTGACTCACCTTGGACTCTACTGCCTATGGGAGGTGGATTATAAGACAGCTCCCATGAACATGCCTTGTATAATCCTGGAACTATGACTCTCATAGATTTGACTTCTGTGATTAGGTTGTTATATGGCACCGTGGACCTTGAAACGTATCCAAGTGGGCCTAACCTACCCACATGAGAAATTCTTTGTTGCTGACTTGAAGATGGAGGGGGCCACGTGGCAAGGAAGGCAGAGAGCCTCTCAGAGCTGAGCAGACCCAGCTGACAGCAGCTAGCAAGGAATTACACCTCAGATCAGAATTCTGCCAAGGACCAGAATGAGCCTGGATGCTTCCCCAGAGCCGTCAGAATGGAATGCAACCTGGCAGATACTTTGATTTTAGCCTTCTAAGACCCTGAGCAGAGAATCCAGCCACCGGGCCTAGACTTCTGAACTACAGAACTGTGAGCTAATAAATGGATACATAGAGGAGCTGAGCTGTGAGGGGTCTTTTCCCTGCACTTGGACCCAGGCCTCCTGCCTCAGGGAGCCCCCAGCCGCAGGGCTGGCTCTCACCTATGAGGGCCAGGGCCAGGGCATCCCAGCCTCCCTCAGGAACCCTCAGGCTCCATAGTAGCAAAAGTCAGACACACCCTGGTCAGCTACAAACATGGCCCCTCTTGACCTTTCTCTGTAAACTGAGGTGCTTTACCTGCTGGCCTTCTCACCAGAGAAAATAGGAAGCTGGGAGTGCCCAGCCTAAGTCCTCAGCAAGGTCTTAGGACCTGTTCCTCACAGATAAGGTGACTCAGGGCAGGCTGGAGACCTCATGAGAAAACTGGACTGTGACGGGCCTCGTGTGGCTGGTGGCATTAGTGCCTGTCCCCAAGGGTTAGGCCTGGGAAAGCCAGGGCTGGCTAGGGTGTCCCAATCTCTGGTTGGATGAACCCTTGCCCTGCTTTCAGTGGCCTCCTGGGGATCCAACCTCCTGGATCTAGAGAAACCCTTTGTGACCTACATTTCCTGAAAGAACTCTTCAGAGAAAGGAGGGCTGACTTTCTTGGGTCCTTAATATCCCCATCCCCAGGTTCAAAGCCAGGGTGGGAGGCCCCAAGTTCAGACCTGGGGCTAGGGAAGGTGTCATTGCCCTCTGCCAAGAGTCCAGAGCAAGGGCCCCAGCCTCAGACTGCTTTCTTGCTTTAGATATCCCCATTGGGCCCATCTCAAGCTGCTTTCCTTCCCCTGCATACCCCCTACATTGACCCTACTCTTTGTTGGTGGGGTGGGGGGGTGTCACTGAGTCCATCCTATCCTTTGGCCCTTGCTGTGGGGTTTGAAAGACTGCCTTTCACCTGGCCCAGATGCCAGAAACTTCTTTCTGCCTTTGGTGTACTCTTTTACCACTGCCCATCAGGAGCTCCCATTTACTGAGGTTCCACAGTTGATGTGCTAGGCCTCTGCTGGCGATGATCTGCAATGACTGGGGACTCTGTGGTCCCTGCCCAGGACAGGGAAGGAATGACTCTGCCCCTGGCTCAGACAGTGCTGTGAGGTTAAGGTCACTGTGGGTAGATGGCCAGGGCTTTATTACATTGGGTGGGTTGCCAGCTACCTGCCCTCAAGCCCCACTCCACTGCAGGCTACATGGGCGGCAATTGGAGCTTGTGTACAGGGTTGGCCTGACCTCGGCTTGGTGACAGTCTCCTCCTTAGCCTGGCCAAGACCTGGATGGGGTTCTGGGCACAGGTGGTCGAGTAGGTCACATCCTCCAGGGAGGACTTGCTGGATCGGCCACAGGACTGCTGAGATGGGGATGCCCGGGGCTGGCCCAGCAGGGTCTTGCCTGCACTGGCTGTCCTTCTGCCAGGTGAGTGCCGCCTGCCCAGAGGCCTGAGGGAGGACCAGATGGCAAGAGCCCACGTGAGCAAGAGGAACCAGCCCAGGCCACCCGTCCCGTCTCTGGCAAAGCCTCACTTACCCTGGGGACACTCTCTGGGCCTGGACTGGGGGTGCTGTTCCCTGGATTCCCTGGCTGGAATGGGCCCTGAGCTGGTCCTGTGGGATCAGCTGCAAAGAAAGCCAAGCTCAGAAAGGCCCAGGAGTCCCCTCCCCACTGTTCAGAGAGGGTGGCATAGCCAGGAGGGTGAGGGAGGGCCCAAACCTGTCCCCGTGGCCTGTTCCTCTGCAGGGCAGGGTTTGAGAGCCTTCCAGGGTCACCTCAGCTGCAGTGTGGGAAGATTTGCTTTCTGATAGGGCTCCTGGTTGCACTTGGAATAAAGTATGAAGGGCCAGAGTGGGGATTTGGAGCCAGAAATTACTGTAACATCCTCTCATCTTATTAAAATACACAAGATGTTTCACAACAGTGTAATCTAAAGCTGCATTTGGTGAGGGGCTCTCAACAGGTTCCCAGGGTGGTGTCTGAAGATCTCAGCTGGGTAGGGGCCTTCTCCAAGTCTCCAAGAGCCAACTCTCTCAGGTGAGGACCCAGGCTACCCACCTTGAGGCCCCCCTGCTGGGCTACATCCCGAATTTTGGACAGCATTGACCGGAGCCGCCCATTCTCCTCCTGCAGGACCCGGATGCGGATGTCGTTGGCCTGCACCTGCCTCTCCATGTCATCCGTGACGTTGCCGGAGCCTGTAGGGATGGGCTATCTGGCACCTCACCCCGCCAAGTCTGCCTCCTGTGCCCAATAGGACAGGACCTCAGAGGGCAGGCATGGGTGGGTGGCCCAGCAGGCGCAGGGGAGCTGGGCTTGCCTTCTCCTGAGGCCTTGTCTTCCCTCCCCAACCCCTACCTGCTAAAAGGTGACTACAACATTATAGAATTTGAGAGATGAGTACAACTTAAGGCTCACTGAAGACTTAGCAAATAGACAATAGCCTGTTTCTGGAAGGCCAGGGACACAGTGAATTGTCCAAAGTCACACAGCCGCTTTTGGGTATGAGTCAGGAAATCAGCAAGGCTGCTCTTTTCCACTACATGGGGGATGAATGATTCCTTTGGGCTCAAATAACCTGAGCAAGTCTCTGTCCTCTCCGGTTCTGGGTTTGTGAAAAGAGGCTGCTCCCTGCCTGGCAGGGCAGTTGAGAGGGCAACAGAAGGGCCTGGCATGTGGCCAACACTCAGGAGTGATGACTTATCATGACTAGTTAAATTGTAGTAGGTCTTCCTCACGGCTCTGAATGGATTCACCCCTAGAGCTTCAGCGGTCTGGAGGGGCTGGGATGAGAACCCAGGTGGCCTGGTATCCAGTCCCCTGCTGAAACAGGTTCACAGCACTCTTGTGCCATGGGGACCAGGGCACTGGACAGTTGAGGCTGGGCCCCTGGAGCAGGCTGCATGGTGTGGTTTGGGAAGACGCTAGGACAGGGAGCACAGGGAAGTCAAGCAAGAAATGGCATGTGACACATGGTGATGAGCACAGTCTACACAGGCAGCCAGACCTGTGTCTGCATTTGGCTGTGTGACTGTGGGCAGTAACCTCACCTCTGGGCTCCCATGTCCCCTTCTACACAGAGTGGGTAACACATGAAGCTACTGCATGTTGAGGGGGGCTCTGTAGACTGCACTGCTGGCCACCCCAGCTCTACCACCCTTGCTGCAAGCTAGGGAGTTGCAGACCCCCACGTCCTGCTGCCCTGGGTCCCAGTGTGTCCCGTGCACCATCCCTGGGCCCCTACTTTGGATCTGGGCCTCATTAGGCCTGTGCAGGTCCGGGAAGGCCACCAGCAGTCGCTCCCGTTCCCTCAGCTCCACGAGCTCCCGTTCCAGGTCTGAGATGGTCAGCTGCAGGTCTGTCATCGCCTGCTCCAGGCCTTGCTTCTCCCCCTGCAGGCTCTGCAGCAGCTCCTGGGACAGGGAGGTTCAGACCTGGCCTGAGGAACAATTCCTGGCTCCCTTGGGGACACCCAACCCTTCTACTCCCTAGACATGGGACAGGCCTACAGGCACCCAGCTGGCTGGAGGCTCCTCACCCTCAACCTGCCCGCTCCCACCTGCTGGGCCTGGAGCTGGCATTGCCCCTGCTCTCTCTCGCTCTGTTCGCTCTGCAGCTTCTCCTCCATGTGGGCCCGCTGGGCCTCGGCCTCATCCAGACTGCCCCGAAGCTCCTCACGCTCCTGGTCCATGCTGTCCAGCTGCTGTAGCAGGGCTCGCTGTTTGGCCTGCAGGGACTGAGCCAGGATGGGCAAGCAGGGAGGCCATGAGGCTCATGGGGCTAGGCCTAGCCACGTGGGACTAAGGAGGCTACAGTGTCTGTGACCTCTGCCCCAAGCCCTCCCTTTTGAGCTGCATCAGTTTGTCCACATAGAGGGAGGCTGTGCACGTGTATGAAAAGCAAGGGGCAGAGGGCAGAGGGCAGAGGGTGACATACATCCCAGCCTGGTCAAAGCCAGACCCCCAGCTTGCAGACCCTGCCCCCTTGGAAAGCAGTTGGTGACTCTATCGGCCTCACTCCCATTTCTTTTTGGTCACAGTCTCACTCAGAGAGGAATTTTAGGAAATGTTTTTCTTCTCCTTAGGTCTTCAGCCCACACCACTTGGAACCCACATTTCCTGACACCCCCTGAGTACAAAGCAAAAAGAACCAGCCCCAGTCATTTCTGAGTCCTGGGTCCAGCTCTAACTGTGTGGCCTTGGTCAATTTCCTTAATCTCACTGAGTCTCAGTTTCTTCATCCATAAAATGGGGATGACAAGATATCTGTGACCTACTGCTGTGGTGAGGAGGAAGAGCGAGAGGGCTGCAGAGGCTGAGCCCAGTGCCTGGCTCACAGAAGCCACCTGATGCATGGCGACTCTGACTGTTCTTGCAGGGCACTGAGAAAAGCACCCACTTGGGGTTGAAAGACTTTCCCATCCTGGGCCATGCCTGACCCTGGGACTTTTATCTGGGGTTGTGGCTCCCTACCCAGCCTCTGAGGATAAGCCCAGTCAGGATAGCCCCCAGACCTGCCCCCTCTCTAGGTGACAGGTGTGACCAATCACTCACTCCCTTAGCCACCCCAGTGGGGACTCCTGCAA